ATTTTAAAAATGTATGGGATTACTCTCAGCCAGAGATGTGAACTATTGGCTTTTCAAACCCAGAGAATTGTTAACACAGAGCCAGTTACCAAGGCCCAGAAGGGGAGCAGGAAGGAGGGATGAAGAGAGGATAATTAATGGGTACAAATATAGTTTGATAAAAGAAATAAAACCTCATGTTTGATAGATTTACAGGGTAGCTATAGATTATAATAATCTATTGTATTATTTCAAGATAGCTGGAAGAGAATAATTAGAATATTTCTAGTACAAAGAAAAGACAGACATTTAAGTTGATAGATATCCCAATTAAACTGATTTGATCTTTACAAATTGTGTGAATGTATTATATTATCACACATATCCTGGGAAAAGAAACATACAAAGTTGGTAAGTGATGTCAGAAATGAAAAGTGGAAAATGCAGAATTTAAAAGTCCAAAGTACATATTTGGATCAAATCATGAGGAGCTAGAAATGATCAATTCAATCTAAAACTTAATCCTACAAAATCAAATTTCTAAATTAGGAAATGGGAACAGTTTCCATCAAAACTGAAAATATTATAGGAAATGTTTGTGAAGATTATCGAGTTGTCCGAGAAATGTGCTGAAAATGGTTAAACAGAAAGTGGTGGAGAAAAAATATTTGGAAAGTTATTATACAAAAGATGCCAAAATCTTTTTCAGTAAACATAATTGAGTACCTAAAATGGGCAAGTCCCTTAGCTTAAGTCTCTGCATACAATTAGTCCCTTAGTCCATCTATGAATTTAAAGTATTGCCATTTAGTAGAGAAATAAGAGCCTCCCATTCTCATTCACAGTATCTATTATGGGTAGAGGATGTTGTAGTCTCTGTAACTTTGTGCTGGTAGTACCATATGATATTTGGAGAACCCTCCTGAACCAAAGCTTTACTCTCAATACATTAGTTGTCTCAGATAAAAGAGTTTTCCTATTATTCAATAATAAAATAGTGTTACCAGTGCATGAAGAGAGCTTACTCACTCAAGATTTTTAATAAGTGAAAATTTAAATAAGCGTTTATTCATGCTAAATGTTTTTCCTTTTTCTTCCTGCAGACAACTAGAACCCAAGAGGTACAAAATGGACTGAAAAACAAGACTACATGTGAATCCATCTGCACAAGCATCATCTTCACTTCAGTATGCACCATCCTTGAGGAGAAGTCAGATACGTATGCAGCTAAATTCACCTTCTCAACAAGGACCTAGAGGCTCTCGTGCCCATTTAAATCCCTCTGGCCCAAAGAGATCTGCAAAGATAAAATCTAGTCAAACCTCTGCCTTACAACAAAGTAGCCAACAACCCCAAAATTGTCTGAATTTATCAGTTAAACCAAAATCTAGCATCACTGTAACAGAGGCAGGTAAACCCACTCAAAAGTTAATTAAAAGTAGTACACTCCTCATGGGCAACCACATTCATACAAAATCTGATCAAACCAAATTTCCTTCATCTCAAAATAATATTCAACCCAAAACTAAGCCAAACTTATTAAATAACCCATAAACATTTAGCCAATCAAAGTCTTGGTCAAAAACACATGAACAAAATAAATGGACAAAAAGATCAGCATGTTATAATGGGAAATTACCTAAATGGGACTAAAAAACAAACATTAGGTACACAGAAAGCATCCAGTAAATCTAAACTTAAAAAAAGTAAAACCATAAAGCAACCACTCAGTAGTCAAATAAAAGCTCCTGTACAAAAACAAACTAACCAAAGATAATACAATTTCAGTAATTCTCAAACACAACAAACCCCATTTTCAAAGCCTAAAGCAAAATCTAGTGGACAAAACTAAACTAAACAGAAAAAACAACAAAGTAAGCTGAGAACTAAAAATTTAGGCTGCACAATCTACAACTTGGCCAATTAAAACCTGACCAGATATCTCTTGAACAAAACAGTGGCCACCAACCCCAAAATAATACAAAATTAACAGCTCACAAAAATCTAGCATTTCTAAAATGACTTGTTAAAATATCTAAAAAATTACCAAAGAAATATATATCACCCATGAGTGTTATTATTCAACAGACACAAGCCAAACTCAAACATCTTTATCTCCAAATGCTAAAAACAATGATCACCAACAAGCAAAACTACAGATATTAGGCCAAAAGAAAATATCCAGCCAACCAAAACTCAAGAAGAAAACAATTATTAAACAGCAATCACATCAAATAAAAAACTTCATATGACAGCAAAATGAACAGAGAAAACATCATTTCAACACAACTGAAAAGAAAAAGATTAGATACTCTAAACTGAAAATAAAAGCAAATGAACAAAAAAGGTTAGTAAAAGCCAAGTATGGACCCCATCCATCTGGTCAACCAAATCTTCATCAGCAATCTTCTGCACCACAGAGTAGCCAACAAGTCCAAAACCCCAAGAATTCAACAGCTTAGAAGAAACCTAGAATGGCCAAATCTTACCAAAGTAACACTGCTAATAACTTACCAATGAAATCTCAGTCTCACTTCATTTCCAATGTTCAGAATCCAAAACAGTCTAAGCCATCTTTAACTGATAAAACAAATGGCCAACACCAACCTAAACCACCAAAAATAGCTGTTCAACCCAAACTTCCTAAAAATATAACCATTGGGCAACAATCCAGTCAAACAAACTCTCCAGTAAGAAAAATCATGGACCAGCAAAAACATCATTTCAATATTTCTGAAATAAAGCAAACTACAATCTCAAAAGCTAAGGCTACAGCAAATAGAAAAAATAGAAGTAAACAGGTAAAGCAGAAAATCGGCCAGCATAAATCTGACCAAACTGGGCCTAGAAATCACCAAGCTGATCAACCCAAGCATGTTTTAAAAATCACACAAAAAATGTCAATCATCTCCCAAATACCAGTAATTCAACAACTTCCAAGAAAATTAACAAAACTAAATTTCAGGCAGGAAAGCCTGATAAAAAGATCCCAAGAATATCTAAGCCTCATTTCACGACCAAAGTTCTGCAAAATCCCAAAAGATTCAATCTACCAAAAGAAACTTCTATTGGTAAAAGCAATGGTCACCACCAAACTAGGCCAAAATCATTAGATGCACAGAACACACCTATCCTATCAAAACCTCATAATAATAATGCAACCAAGAAACAGCAAGGCAGTCAAACAAAGATTCGTGCACAAAAACAAATTAGCCAAAAGAAATAAAATCAAAATGCTACTACAAAATCTTCAAAGTCAACACTGATTGCAAGAGCAAACAGAACCAAAAAAGTAAAACCACTAAAACCAAGCAAAACCACTAAAAATTTATCAAGGAAATCTAAACCTTATGTTGGTGCCAAATTTCAACAAAACTTAAAAGGATCCAAACTATCCTCAGTTTCAAATGGTTCAAGAAAAATCCAACAGAAAACCAAGCCACAACCATCAGATTCAAAACAAACACCTAGCCAAGTAAAACCTCATATAAACCCATCCATAAAGCACCAAATAAGTCAAGCAAAGACTGATCCATATACTCCCAAAAATTATCAGATTGGGCTCTCAAAATGTTACTTGAATAAATCAATAGAAAAACAAGCTATCCAAAGAAAACCTAAGGCTAAAGCAACTACACAACAGAGGATCAAAAAAACAAGGCATCCTCCTTCTCGTCAGAGACCTCCCCAATGAGGCCATCAGAGTCATCACCCTTGCCAATCAAAATCTAGACAAAAGGTGCCTCCACTTGCACATCCTGCTATACAAAACCTATATCCTAATCCACTTTATTTTCATCCACATAAACCTTTCCAGTACCCTGGATCATATAAGCATTGTATAAGGCAACCTGGGAAAAAGCAACCACCTCTCAGACCTCATTGAAAGCCAGCATTGCAACCTAAACCTGCCTGTCTCCCTCATCATCCAAGAGTACATCCTACCCTACAACCTGGGAAGTTGCCAACCAATATTAATCTGACTTCTAAAACTGTATCCTCAGAACCATTGTTATTGACCACCAAAGCATCTACAAACATTAAATCTGCATCGATGAGCAGAAAGTCCATCACAAGCCTGGTGATCTCTATAACCAAATCTTCCCCAATTTTTAATCCTGTAGCTACAGCCACAAAACCCACTGTTTCTACCAAGCTTGTGGTTAATAACCCAAAATTCTCCACTACTGAAAATGTTCCTACCACCAAATCCTCCACCATTAATAAACCTACCACAGCTACTATTACATCAACTACCACAACAACCATTGTAATCCCCATCACCAAATCTACCACCACCTCTAAGTATTCTACCTCCACCACCAAATATACCACTACCTCCAAGCCTGCAACCTCCACCACCAAATCTACCCTTACTTCTAAGCCTACCACCTCTGCAACTAAATCTACCACCATTTCTAAGCCTGCTATCTTTGACACCAAATCTACTACCAACTCTAAATCTGCTACATTCATCACCAAATTTACCGCCAACTCTAAACCTGCTACCTCCATCACCAAATCTACCACCACATCTAAACCTGCGACTTCCACCACCAAATCTACCACTATTTCTAAGCCTGCTACCTCTACCACCAAACATACCACCAATTCTACAGCTGCTACCTCTACCACCAAATCTGTCACTACCTCTAAGCCTGCAGTCTTCACCACCAAATCTACCATTACTTCTAAGCCTACAACCTCTGCCAGCAAATCTGCCACCATTTCTAAGCCTGCTACCTTCATTACCAAATCTACCACCACCTCTAAGCCTGCTATCTTCATCACCAAATCTACCACTATCTCTAAACCTTCTTCCTCCATCACCAAATCTAAAACTACTTTTAACCCTGCTACCTCCATCACCAAATCTACCATTACTTCTAACCCTGCTATCTCCATCACCAAATGTATCACCATCTCTAAGCCTGCTACATCCATCACAAAATCTACAACCACCTCTAAGCCTTTTACCTTCACCACCAAATCTATCACCATCTTTAAGTCTGCCACCTCCACTACCAAATCTACCACCACCTCTAAGCCTGCTGCCTTCACGACCAGTACTACCCTTACTTCTAAGCCTACCACCTCTGCCACCACATCTACCACCATTTCTAAGCTGGCTACATCCACCATCAAATCTACCACTACCTCTAAGCCTGCTACCTCCACCACCAAAGCCTACCACTTCCACCACCAAATCTACCACCACCTCTAAACCTGCTACTTCCACCACCAAATCTACCACCACCTCTAAACCTACTACCTCCACTACCAAATCTACCACCACTTCTAAACCTGTTACCCCTACCACCAAATCTACCATGGCTTTGAAGCCTGCCATCTCTACCACCAACTCTACCACCATCTCTAAACCTGTTGCCTCCATCACCAAATCTACCACCACCTCTAAGACTGCTACCTTCATCACCAAATCTACCACCACATCAAAGCCTGCTACCTTCATCACCAAATCTACCACCACCTCTAAGCCTGCTACATCCACCACCAAATCTGCAACCACCACTAAGCCAGCTACATTCAGCACCATATCTACCACCACTTCTAAACCTCCTACCTCTACCAACAAATCTACCACCACTTCTAAGCCTGCTATCTCCGCCACCAAATCTACCACCAATTTTAAGCCTACTACACCTGCCACCAAATCTACCACCATTTCTAAGCCTACTTACTACCTTTATTGCCAAATCTACCACCACCTCTAAGCCTTCTATCTCCACCACCAAATCTACCATTACTTCTAAGCCTGCTACATCCACCACCAAATCTACCATTACTTCTAAGCCTGCTACCTTCACCACCAAATCTACCACAACCTCCAAACCTGGTACCTCTGCCACCAAATCCACCACCACTTCTAAGCCTGCTATCTCCACCACCAAATCTACCATTACTTTTCAGCCTATCACCTCTGCCACCAAATACCATTTCTAAGCCTGCTACCTTCACCACCAAGTCTACCACTACCTCTAAGCCTCCTACCTCTTTCACCAAATCTTCCACCACTTCTGAACCTGCTACATCTGCCACTAAATCTACCATAACTATAAAACCTATGATTCCTACTACAAAATTAAGCTCCCCTATCAAGCCTAAAGTGCCTACAACCAAACCTATTACCATTGTCAGTTCTGTAGCTGGCACCAGTTCATCTGCCTCTATAGCTCCTGAACCAATTAAAGTTACTAGTTTCTCTTCCACCAGCCCTACTACTACAAAATCTGTGCCAATGACCAAATCTGTTGTGGAAACCAATGAATCTCTTCCTACTACAACCAAAGTTGCTAAATCTACCACCTCAGTATCTGTCACCACTAAAACAACTACTGCTTCTAATTTCTCAACAATTGTGACAAAAACTACATCTCCTATGACCACAGCATCAGCTTTTCAGTCTACATCTACCACTACACCCACTACTACCACTGCATCAATAGTACAGTCATACCATCTTTAATGACTACTACAACTCTGGCTGGAAGTACCTTAAAAGCTATGGATACTCAAAGACAAAGAAATCAGCCACAAACACAGTTCTCTCTACAACACCAGCAAGAAACACACCTGCTGCCACCATAGCTGCTCTAGTCACATCTGCCCCCAGAATCACTTCAACCCCTCTCATCAAGGAAGCTGCCTCCAATACAGTGGATCTGTCTACCACATCTGTGGTTTCAACTGCTTTGGCTCCCTCCACCACTTTTCTTTCAACAGCTTCTATCTCCATCACCAAATCTACTCTCTAAAACATGTCTGCTGCCACTAGTACCACCTCCACTGCTGTGGACACTGCAGCTCCCTCCATGACAGCACAGGCTTTCACTAGCACTTCCACTGCTTCTCCATCTGTCTCTATATTTACAATAACATCCAGCCCTACATCTGTCGATTCAGAGGTTGCTAACACTAACCCTGCCATTGTGGCCACAGCTGCCATGAAAATGACTACTTCTACCTCTACCTTAGAAGACACCACCACAGATTCTTTGTTTACGACTTCTGCTATTTCTGCTGCCCTTAGCACAGCAACATCCACAATGATCATCCCTGAAATCATCACAGATCTTACTTCCTCTTCCAGTACTGCTTCTGCTGTACTACATTCAACTACCAAAGCAGACCCTACAGCTTCACTCATTGATATCATGGCCACAACACTGGACACTGAAAATGATGCATCAACATCTAACTCTAGCACATCTGATGACCCTACACTTGATTATAATCCTGACACTACTGATTTCACCTCTGTGGTCTCCTACATATCACCTGCTGCCACACATCCCTCCACCTCCACAGATTTTTCTTCTGTCACACCATCTGCCACCACTGCTGTTCTTATTTCTCTTCCTACAATAACATCTGTTTCACCTATCACAGACATTGCCACCACCATACCTCCTGCCCTAAGCACGTTCACTCCTTCCAGCACTGCTCATCCTGCCACCCCCACAGCTGAGGTCGCCACCACACCTGCTAGCTCTGCCACCACTAGTCAATCCTGCCCCTCCACTTCACTTGGAGCAGCAGCAGCCACAAGTATCACCTCTGCTGCCACTAACATACCTGCCACAACCACAGAAGCCCCTGACACCTCTGCTCCCACAATCACTTCTCCTGTGTTGCTCCTGTCACCACCCAAGCTGCCACCAGCACAGCTGCTCCTTTTAGCAACACACAGATGGTCACAGCTACAGCTGCCCAATCCATCTTGTCCATGAAAACCACCAGCACCTCCCCTACCATCATAACCATTACTGCTCCCTCCACCACCTCACAGGCTGTCATTTCTTCAGCCCCATCTCCTGCTGCTGCCACCCCTGCTGCCACCAGCACTTCATCAGACTCCTCCTCTAACCCTTCACAGGCCTCCATCACAACATCTCCTGCCCTCAGCTCACCAATATCGATGAGTACCACTGTTGAAATCACCACAAATCCTATTTCCACTACATCTGACTCCTCTGCTCTTTATTCTATAACCACAGAAGACACCACAACTGCTTCTACTGACACACCAAGTAAACTGGCCACCACAGATAACAAGACAACCTTGGACTCCAGTACATTGGATGCTGTCACTGACTATAACCAAGACATTAGCACTGCTGCCTCTGTCACTACTCTTACTGCCACACCCCCTCCAGCCCCTTCTACCATCTCAGAGCCAAACCCCACCACTGATGGTGCCTCCAGCCCACCTGCTGCCACAACCATGTCTCTTCCTTCTTCCACTGCACAGTCTGTCACTTCCAGGGCTACCACCCCCAAAGCTGCCATTAACACATCTTCTACAGCCACTGCATCTCTAGCAACAGCAATCACTGAGGCCACTAATAAACCTCTTTCTTCCACCATATCTAGAGCATCTCCAGGAGCTTCCACCAGCACCACACCTGTTTCTACTAACAGTCCTTCCAGTAGCACAGAGGCTGCTCCCACAGCTACTTCCACATTGACCTCTGCCTCAACCCCATGCACCACCTCCAACATCTCAAGTATTACCACTGCTTCCTTCATGATTTCTGACATCTCACCACCTGTCACAGCCACTTCCACCTCATCTTTTACAGCTAGAGCCTTAACATTTTCTGCTGCCCCACTTGCTACCATGACAACCTCTGCTCCCTCTTCCACCATTCAGGCTGATGCCACCACATCTGCCACCACCACACCTGTCTCTACTACTTTCCCCACAGCCTCCTCCACATCAGCTACCACAAAGCCCATCACCTCCTCAGCTGAGGTCTCCTCATCTACCAATACCAAAAGTACTCCTGCTCCCACCAGCACCATGCAGAATGCCACTACCACAGCTCTTCCCTCCAGCTCATCTGCTGAGGCCACCGGCACAGCCCAGGCCACCCCAACCATTTTTTCTTTCTTAGTCACCACACAGTCTGTCTCTACCGCATCTGCTGCCACCACACCTGTCTCTTCTAACTCCTCACAGCCAGCCAACACAGCCTTTCTCTCTCTGTCTTCTGCCATATACCCCAGCACCACCTCTGCCACTGCAATCATATCTTCCTCAATCTCTGCTTGGGCTGACACCACCACATCTGCCACCACCACGCCCGTCTCTACCACTATCCCCACAGCCTCGTCCACATCAACTATTGCAGAGCCTGACACCTTCACAGCTGAGACCTCCTCATCCACTGATACCACAAGTACCCCAGCTCCTGCCAGCACCACACAAACTGCCATTATCATGGGTCCTCCCTTCATCTGCTGCAGCCTCCAGCACAGCCCTGGCCACCTTGACCTTTTCCTCTTCCTCAGCCACCACACAGTCTGTTTCTACCTCCTCTGCCACCACCTCTATCTGTACCATGCCTACCCCTGCAACCACCACTGTCACCACAGAGATAGCCACCACTACAGCTAATCTTTCTTCTACATCAGCAGCCACTACATTTTCTGAGGCCTCTTCCTCCATCACTGAGGAATCTCCCCCTGCTTTTCCAAGCACTTCATACACTGCTACTGACACTGCCACAGCTACTGCAGAAAATTCTACCACACCTGCCTCCACAACCACTCCTGCCACGTCTACAGGCACATGGGCTGCTACTGCCATACCTGCTGTCACCACTACATCTGCTATTGGCAGCACCACACCTACACCCACCATGACTGCAGCTCTCCTTTCCACTGCATTGTCACCTCAACCACTGCCTCCATTAGCACTACATCAGTGCCCACTATGCCAGCTACTGCTATAGCTATAACCCCAAGGGCACCCCACATTATTTCAGGTGATGCAACCAGTACACCTGTTTCCAACAAGGAGACCACCTCTGAAACCTTCATAACTCCAATGCCCACTGCCATACCTGCTTCTTCCATACCTGATGACACGACCCCTGTTGACACCACAGTTATTAACACTACAATCAATGCTGTCTTCACCACTGATACCACTTTAATACTCAGCACTAGCACATTTTATGACACTACACTTGAGATCACTGAGCATGACACAGCTATGCTCATATCAGATGTTTCTACAGAAAGTCGGGCTTAGAGCTAGAGTTAAATGGCCTTCTTCAGCCTATCTACCATAGAGCATGAATCACATGGGTGGGACTTCTGAGCCAAACTTTACCTGAAACCAAAATCTTAGATCCGTTACTCTTTCTTACAAAGATGCCAAATTTTATTACAACCAAAAATATTTTCATTTGTATTCTTAATATCAAAAGAAACGTTAAGAGTAGCATAGGTGTATTTCACTTCAGTACACAAACTAAAACTATCGTTTCTATTATCTACAAAATTAGAAAGACATCTTTAAACAGTGAACATTATTATGAACTTTTCTATACCCAAAAGAAAGATTTAAAGAAATTATGCCAAAAAAATTTTTGGTTTGGTAGATGAACTAAGAATGGCTTCAAGACAAAAGAATCCCTTTGTCTTTCTATTCAACATCCCTCCCTAAACTTTTCCATGTCACACAGAAAATGCAATTCTTCCTGTCATCCAGAAAATGCACTCTAGACTTGGTGGTGATCCACACAAAAAAAATATAAATCTTTGATAAATATGAACAATTAGCAATCAAAGTCAGCTGCAAGCAAGATAATTTATAAAGAAAAGTTAATGTTATTACTTAACATTGATAGATACCACTAAAAGATCCCTAATTAAAAGTCTTTATTCAATAAAGATCCAATAACAATTTGTAAATGAATCAAAA